TGTGCCCATGTGTGTTTATAACCCTTTAAAAAATGTAAAAGCCATTCTTGGTTTGCAGAGCATATAAAAACAAAACCAAGCCAAGGCACAGCCCAGGGGTGGCTGTAACAAAAACAGACAAACAGTAACAAGCTCTGAGGGGAGGTGGGGAAATGCCCCTGTCCACTGCTGGTGGGAAGGGTGGTTGTTGTGGGAAGGGGTCTGGCAGCCTGTGACAAAGCTAAACATAGCTGTCGTGTGATCTGGAAGTTCCACTCTTGGGTGTTTGTGTATCCAGGAGAATTGGAAACATATGTCCACACAAAACCTATGTGTGGATGCTCACAACAGCATGTCTTGTAATAGCCATTACCATGGAAACAACCGAATGCCCATCAAGGGATGGATGGATAGATGAGATATAGACGAGAACAAAGTTTTGCCACACGCCACAGCAAAGATGAATCTTGAAAGGCTTCACCAAGTAGAAGAGAGCAGACACCCAAGACCAGACTTCTCAAGACTGGGCTCCAATGAATGGTTCCAAGCAAGCGAGTCTACAGACAGACCAGAGAGCTCTGTTCTGGACTGTCGGGTTTCATGACAGTGAGGAGTGCCTGCTAATGGGCACAGCTTCTTTGGGGGGTTGACAAGAATGTTCTGGAAGTATCAGTAATAATGACTTCACAGCTCTGTGAATATAGTAACAGTCACAGAATTGTGTGGTCTGGAAATGTGAATTAGGGACTAAGGAGATGACTTAGTGGGTAAATGCCTGCACACAAGCCTGAACCTCCAAGTTCGGATCACCAGCACCCACAGAAAGGCAGGCATGTCGGAGCATGTCCATAACCCTGGCATGTATGTACACACACACACACTCACTCGGTTATTTTGGGGGGTGGAGGATAAGGTGTCTTGGTTAGGGTTTTTATTGCTGTGAAGAGACACCATGACCATGCAACTCTTATAAAGAAGACATTTATTTGGGATATCTTGCTTACAATTTCGGAGATTCAGTCCATTATCATTATGATGGGGAGCATGGCAGCATGCAGGCAGACATGGTGCTGGAGCTGAGAATGCTACATCTTGAAAATAACAGGAAGTCAACTGACAGTCACACTGAGGGAAGCTTGAGCAAAAGAGACCTCAAAACCCGCCCCCACAGTGACACACTTCCTCCAACAAGGCCACACCTCCTGATAGTGCCACTTCCTTTGGGGGCCATTTTCTTTCAAACCACCGCATAGGGTTTCTCTGTGTAGCTCTGGCTGTCCTGGAATTCACTCTGTAGACCAGGCTGGCCTCGAACTCACAGAGATTCACCTGCCTTTGCCTCTCGAGTGCTGGGATTAAAGGTGTGCGCCACCACCTCCGGGCTATGGCTCACATTTTTTAATGTGTGAATAATGAGCTGGGAAGATGGATTGTTGGGTAAAGGACTTGCCACCAACCCTGCCAATCTGAACTCAATCTTTGAGACCCACATGGTAGAAAGAGAAAACCAACTCACGAAAGTTGTCCTCTGACCTCCACATGCAAGACATGGCATGCACACACTCATACACATACAAAAGACACCTTTTAAGATGTTTTTAAAAGTATGAGTTTTATGGAGTGCAAATTATGTCTCCTTTTTAAATGTTTGGCAGGTTTATTGTTTAGTTTGGTCTTTTAAATGCCAGTGAAGGGTTGTGATTTGCCAAATCCTGGGTAAATGGTTGAAGGTGCCACAGAGGCACACAGAGACTCTTGCAAGCTTGGCTTGGTCCTCCAAGGAATGGGGAGGGGCTGTGAAGGCCCAGGTGTTGGAGAGGCCCACCAGAAAATCTCACACAAAGGCAGAGGCAGAAAGAGCCACCCAGGGTGGAGGAGGTAAGATCTGGGATTTGAGCACCACAGCATGAAGGACAGTGACGAAGCCCAGTTCTGTGTGGCAGAATCATCAGATTGGATGACTGTCTGGTCATGAGTCTGAGGGTCAGGGGAGGCATACTGCTTGTCACATCTCGGAAGAGTCTAGACCAGTGATGGCTGAGACCCGGAAGCCAGGAGGAGGAGGGTGGACTTTTGAGTGGGATAAGGGATACGGGCAATCCTGGGAGTGTGGTCCTCACAGAGCAGTTCCTGGAGGGCATCCGGGAGGGGAGCCCCATCTCCAGGCAGAAGGGAGCTATGTGTCTGCATCTCAGAAGAACAGAGCCAGACCCGAGAGAGGTCAGATTGCTGGCCTCTCAAGGGCCTGATGATCTACAGCAGATCTCAGGGCCCACCCACACCTGAGAGGTCAGAGAAGAGAAAGAGAAGCAGGAACCGGAGAAAGTCCAAAGGTCAGAGGGCTGGGAGAGCTGAGGGAGGACGTGTCACTGAGGAGAGGGCACCAGGTGTTGTGAGGTCGCCTTACCCAGTGAGTCAGGGACTCGAAAGAAGAAATTGAGGTCCTGGGGAGGAATTCTACCTCCAGCTTCTGGTGTCAAAGCTGCTGTGGTGGGGAGGGAGGTGTGGGAGGTGGTGGTGTTTGAGCTGGAGGGACGGGAAGCTCGGAGGATGGGGAGTTGTGATGAATACCCCAGTGTGAATGGACCCAATGCTGTTAAACAGTTCAAACTGTAGAGTTGTGTTGTTGATTTTTTTT